TTAAAGCTCCCTACAATTATTCATCGTATGTTCTTATAGAAAATGCATTTTGGCGTGGGATTGCTCCGCAAGTAAACAGATGGAGGAAAAATACATTAAATTTACGTAGTACCAATATGGACAAAATGGATGCTGGTACTGTACCATTTTTATATAATTTTAGTTCGAGTATTGTTCCTCGACCATACGATTGGAGCGATTGGATATGTATCACTGGGTATTGGTTTTTGGATAATCCAGAAATTGGTTGGGCAGCACCTAAAGAATTATTAGAATTTTTAAATAATAATCGTAATAATAATAAAAAGATAGTATATATTGGATTCGGTTCAATAGTTGTAGAAGATCCAAAAGCTTTAACAAAAACAATCGTTGAGGCCGTGGTAAAGAGTGGTGTTTCTGCTATTTTATCAAAAGGTTGGAGTGATAGGTTACATCAAGGAAAGACTGATAATAATGAGGAAGAAGAATATCCTTCATGTATCTTGCCGGTGAAATCTGTACCGCATGATTGGTTATTTAAACAAATCGATGCTGTGGTGCATCATGGTGGTGCGGGAACTACTGCAGCAGGTTTACGGGCTGGAAAACCCACTATTATCAGACCATTCTTTGGTGATCAATTCTTTTGGGGTGATCGTATAGAAAATATGGGAATTGGAATTCATTTAAGAAAGTTAACTGCAGATAAACTCTCCGATGGCCTTATCAAAGTCACAACGGATGGACTTATGATTAAAAAAGCTGAATTGGTAGGAAATAATATAGAAAAAGAAGACGGTGTATTGAATGCAATACAATCAATATATAGACATATGGATCATGCTAAGCAAAGAATTATTTCACAGCGGCAGCGAGCTGCCGCTACTGGTAGTCAACTATTACCATTCGGTATTGATGATACAATTGTGTTTGATTTTAAATTAGCTGCTGCGTTAAAAAAGATTGTTGGATTCCCTGTAAATGAACATTCAGGAGATAGCGAGACAAATTCACCGTTACCTATTGAAGATAATTGATTTTATCGGTTAACTTTCTATAAATAGTCAATTATTCTAATTACGTGGAAAATAAGGTGGTTATTTAAATGATTGCTATTTTATGGTGCGAACAATTTAAACATCCAATTTATTAACCTTTTTTTTAAAAAAAAAAATTGTATTTAATCAATTAACGGATATGCATTTTGATAGTGTTTGATGAGATTTAACGAGCAACCACATTTTATTGAAAAGATATAATTTAAATGAACCATTCTTTCAGCATCAGACAAACCAACACCTTTAGTGTAATTAGGCCATTGTTTATCGTTTTATTTTATCTATTAAAAAAATATTTATTTTATATATATATATATATTTGTAAATGCATATCATGTAAATAAACAATTTAATATTTGAATTTAAAAGGTTATACTCTAATCAATTAACAATTCACAGTACGTACTATAGAAAAACAGTTTTTTTTTTTTTTTTTTTTTTTTGAATCTTAAGGTGAGGTAAACTTATAGTTTTTAAATTTTATATTAAGAATATAAATTAATGAATTTTTATTCGTACCAAATAGGTAAGTTATCCTGTGTATAAAAAAAAAAACTAAATTTTAAATCTTTAAAACTTTTTTTTTCTGATAATCTTGTATTAACTTTTAGATTTTATTATTTTATGATAGGTTTAAAATTTTATATATACTACCTTTTAGCTTTTCTGTTTTAGTATTTAAGGATAATTATTATTTCTTATTCGGTAGACAAAAATTTGTTGGAAATTTGTTTATAATCCTTTTCTTAAAATTTTAAAATAGAATTTTACTAATCTTTATACGTAGTATTTGAAACTCGAATATAATTTATGCATAAATTATAATATTATAGTAGTTAGAATTAAAAAAAAGTATGTTGTATAAATAAGGTTCAGTAGATTTAAACCTTTTTAGAATTTCAAAGTTAGGGTATAGAGTTTACTGTGTATAAAACAAATCTATTTAAAAAATTTTAAATTTACTTAAATTTATATAATTTTTTTAAATTTTAAATTAATTTTTTTATTGTTTATATAACCAAGTGTTCAAATACTTATATACAAATAGCAACTATCTAAAAAAAATTACAATTTTTAAATTAAATTTTTAAAAAATATTAAAGTATACCAATGGGCTTAACTTATATATTTTTGCTATAAAATTATAGTTATAAATTAACAAAAGATTAGATATATAAAGGTTCAAATTTTGAATAGCATAAGATTTTGTAGGTTTTGAGCATTTTTACTTAATATATCTAATTTAGATTTTGTTAGTTTTTAAAATATAACAATTGTAACATCAGATATATTGAATATCACTGATATGTTTTAATAAAAAAAAAAATTTAAAAAAATATTACATTAAAGTATTTTTATAAGAGTAATAAAAAATTAGAGATCTTATTTAGAAAATGAGATTTAATACGTAATACAGTAAGTAGTTATTAGAATTTAGGTTTTAGAACTTCCATAAATATAGAAAAAAGATTTTAATATACTGTATATGTAAATCCAAAATTTTCTCACTACGTACATTCCAATTTTTAATATACAGTATATAAAACTTCAAGATAGTAAATTTTTATTACATCAAATTACAAAGTGAGGTTAGTTTCGACGGGCACTATATTTTAACAACTCAGTATTTAATAAAATCTTTATTAAAGTTGATACTAAATTTTAAGTATATATATTGGTATGAAGTAATATATACTGTCTATATATACGCACAAGCACTATTTTAAGACATGCAATATAAATAAAGCCAATAATTTAACCGATAAACCGTAATGACAAAATTATTATCTCTCTTTGAGTGTCTCGTGGGCGTTATTTCGCACAAATTACTAAGTATAAAAGATTTTGATAACTATATACGTACGTACATACGTACTTGATCAGTGATTAAATTGGATAATTTATAACGCTAATAATCGATCGAATATTAGATGGAATATTCGAATGCATATTTTTTTTTACTTTAGACCTGCGGATCGATAATCGAAGATTGATGAGGAGATTCCAGATCTTTGATTAGATGTTTTAGATCATTTCGTGTGACGAAGCATTTATTATAATAATAATTTGCCTCGATCAAATAATTTTTTCTATTTAATAAAGAAATTTATTAATGCTTCTCCAAGTAATTCAAATAATTTTCTATTAATGCTTCTTCAAATAATTCAAATAATTCAAATAATTTTTTATTAAAAATTTTTTACATTAATAAATGTTTCGGTCAATCGCTGTGATAGTTGGTAGAAGTAGTAGGTTTGGTTGTAGAATTGGCGATAATAATATAATTAATGTGGGTAGTATCTACTTTA